ACACAGATGCTTTCCTTACTTCATACTCCCAAAAATCTTTCAAGTATCACAGCAAAAGAAATTACTGCTAGTGCACTTGAAGAGTCAAACTACAGCTACCACGTGCTACCAATACTCATCAGAAAACCCCCTGTCTGCAAAACCATCACTACTTCTAGCACATTCCCAGGGCAGCAACCCACCAGAAAATTGTTTGAAAAAAATCAAGTGATAATTCCCATTCTAAGCAACACAACCACCTTCACTGCAGTGAGAACGTGCAATAATGGGCTACAAGCCACACAGCAATCCAAGGCAGCTGTTCTGCAGAAAAGGTAATTAGCTTCTGCAGCAGTACATGTCCCCTCAAAATTCTGCCATACCACAAGAATAGTGGGGCAAGACACACTGCTAAGCACACAAAAGCAACTCCTGCAGAAGTTTGACCTGCACTTGTTCAGAATGAAGTGACCAACCCTCCATCAGTGCTGCCAAGACTCACAGACACCACCCAACACTTCAGGGAAGGAGAGTCTGCATTCTAGACCACGTGGAGAACTCAAATTGCCCAATGCAGTTTCATACAGTGAAGCCCAAAATATCCACCACAAGTGAAACATCAGAATCATAATCAATGAGATTTCAAACAAGTTTACACAGAACTCCAGCTACTGCAAAGAGCAATTTAGATATGTATCATTTGCTTGGAAAGAAGTGACTATCCCTGTATTTTGACTGTCACATAAAAAACCAGTTTCAGGACACAGAATTCTCTAATCTGAACTACAGAAACAGCCCATCAATATGGACTTTGTACTGATGAAGTTTTAAAATCTTTGTCTTATTTTACAGTATGTTTTTTTTTTTTATTTAAAGTTGAAAAATAACAAACCTTGGAAGAGTAGGTGAAGTGCCTAGGTGACATTTTGTAGAATTCAAACTATCTTCCATCTATCTTAAGCTGCAAACGTATTTTCAACTCCTTAGATGAAAGCTTTCACGTTTGTTTCCAAAACATGATCAACTTTGAGATCTGTATGACATATTCAGTTTAAAGTTTGCATTTTTTTGTGTGTGCTTATTTGCCAAAGAAACCTAAAAAACTAAAAATATCTGCAGAAAGGAAATAGACCTGGAAGCTTATTGCTGATTTTAAAAAACAAAACCACAACATCACAACATGTCAGTGTCTTGATAACATCCCTTCTTATAAACCTAGTAACTTAATATTTAATCTGAAATCATATGCTAATTATTCTGCAAGATAATTCAAATTCTCTTGTTTCAACATCTTCGGGATAGATTTTACTAAGTAGTTCTTTTTACTGAATCATTCTAACATATTTTCTTGATTAATTCAGAGATCCTTCTTTATTTGTGGTATTTTCTTTATCCAATATATCAACTATCACTTGGGGGGAAAAAAAAAAATCCAGAGAAGATTTTCACCTTGTCACTGTCTGTGGTGGAGAATCACAAGTAATAAGAAAAGGGATCAAGCCCCAAACCTGCTTTACAACATATTATTGTGTTGCAGAAGGAGGTGCAATTATGAGGTAACAACAGTTCTCATGAACTACCCTGAACCTTGAAAGCCACATACTATCACAGGTTCCACAGCAGAGACCATGGACAGTGACACACAACAGACCATGAGTAACTGACAACTAGCACAGTAGTTAATAACTACATCTTTGATGTCATAGTATATCCAGCAACCTAATTCACAGCTAGAAAAAAAATCAAGAATTTTTTCTTTCTTTCACCATCCTCTCATGGGAATTACACAGTGCTCAAGTATATATTCTAGTGCAAAACCAACTGCAAATCAAATGCAAATATTTCCCCCTCACTGTTTTGCCTCTCAATTTTACTGACATGCCACATCCAAGAATTCTAACAGACCATTAACAGCTGTATGGTAAGCAATGCTCAATTTTGGATCCTCCTACTCTTGAGAATAGAGGCTATATTGAAACATCTTCCTGTGACAGAGGTAATTAAAAAAATAATTAAGGTAAAGTGGATTAAATCTGTGTATGTACATATATAAACACACAAAGAGGCAGAGAGAACACATGAGATACCTCTGATTTCATTATGTGATATGTAAATACCAATGCACAGCTGCCTTTTTTTTTGGACATACAGCAGATTGTATGAATTCTATTAGAATACATATGAATGCACCCAGTGATTTTCCTCAGTTGTCTACTCAATGGGGACAAAGAAAGTATTATTCACAGGTAACAAGAGGGATGATATAAAAGCTGGGCAGCAAGGATGTGGTTCATTAAGGCAAGAACTAAAGAATTCATTAAGGTGCACTGTGAGGCACAGCAGCCTTGTAAGTATTCTCTGATGTGCCAATAATGTCATAACAAATACCCAAGTAAACTAGTTAAGTAGTTTTCCCTCACATTAACATTGGTTTCAGTGTCATTCAAGCTGTGGTCATTTACAATTTCAAAAACATGCTTGATCCCTTCTACAAATCACACAACAAGCCTGGTATCAAAACACTCTTCTGGGGGTGTCTCAACATTTTCCAACAAACTTAGAAGAGCATTCTAGCAAGAGCACTGGAAACCAAAACACGATTTCTTTGTCTTAATAACACAACATAGTTATTTACCTTTGTAGTGTGACAGGCAGCCATTCTGCTAGGAAGTTTCCATACCATTACATATCATTTATTTTTCAGGCAATTTTAAAAATACTTCTTTAAGAAGATGCTATGTAACTGGTGTGTCCCACATTTACACTCGTATCGTCAAAGTAATCTACCAAATCATTTCCTCCACCAGCAGCATGAAGACAGAGTGTATTGTGACACCTCATACATATTTAATAATAGCCTGATAGGCTGTCATTAACATCAAACAGCAATCTAAGTTTGCTACATTAAACATGATCCCTGTGTTAAGAGGACAATCACAAAGTGCTTCCAAGATCGAGCCTGTAAGAAATACCCACCGACTTGGACAAGGTGTAATGAGGCCAACTGCACTGGAAAAGCCACACATTGGATTTAAAATTAAATAATAATAAAAAATAAAAAAAGCAAGGGAAAAAGAAAAACCTTCAATGGGTCATAAGACCAGACATGCCATAAGGCAATCTGTCACGGAGAACTCATATTAATAACTGTTGTGTCAAAACTGAACATTCAAAAGAAAAGACAAACCTTCCTTTATGTTTTATGAAATGTAAGCCCACAGAATTAATAATTCATGAGATGAAGAAAAATATCACATTTGGCTATAAATATTAACAGACGCTGTCAACCTGCTTAGAACTAAATTTCTACTGTCCTACCTTGCAATTATCGATTTAGAAGAGAATAGTCTTCAAAAAGCTCAAAAAAAAAATTCAGTATGAAAGTCATTAATGAAGAAATTAACATTCTCTATTCATGTAGGTCCTAAGCAAACCAGCAGAACTGTGTTCTGGGCTGGGCTGTTGCTGAGAGAATGCTAATTGACTGGCATTGTTTGTGCCCAGAGTTATGCTGTGATGACAGCAATAATGCTTCTGTGCACACAAGAAAGTACCCCAAAAGGACAGAGTA